GACTGGAATGAGGCAGTGATCTAGTTTCATTTTTTTGCATGTAGCTTCCCAGTTTTCCCAGCACCACTTGCTGAACAAATTTTCTTTGTTCCATAAAATTTGCATTTTTAATGAAATTTTACATTAAAGTTTTTAGATTTTTACTGAAGTAACAGTTTAAAACATTGAACAGTTTCAGGTTTCAGGTGTATACTATACATTATGATCTTTACCAGAAGTCTAGTTTCTAAACAGTTCGCCTCTTCACCCAATATTTCCACCCCTACTCCTTTGCTCTACATCAACCCTGTTTTATTCTTATAATCTTAACTGTTTGTTTCCTTTTTAAAATCTTCCACACATGAGTAAATCATATGGTATATATCTGTCTGACTTATTTCACTTAGCATGATGCATTCGAGGTTCATCCATGCTGTAACAAATGGCAAAATTTCGCCATTTTTTTTTTTTTCATAGCTGCGAGTGTTCCATTGTATCTGTACCATATCTTTATCTCCTCATTTGTCATTGGGCACTTAGGTTGTTTTCATATTTTCACTATTGAAAATAATGCTTTAGTAAACAGAAAGGTGCATGTATCTCCTTGAATTAATGTTCTTGTCTTTCTTGGGTATATACCCAGAAATAGGATCCCCAATCAAATTGCATTTCATACTTAATTTCTTGAGCATGCTGCATGCTGTTTTCAGTAGTGGCTGCACCAGCCTACATTCTCTCCAGCAACGTACAAGGCTTTCCTTTTCTCCACACTCTGCCAACACCTTGTTTCTTGTCTTTTAGATACACAATTTGAGGAGTATCTATTTCTGGGTCCTACTTGTTGGACAAATATTGATATAATTCTATAGAAGCATTCTTGATGTGAATCATGCTTTCAGTGTTAGTGTGAAATTTCCTAATCTGTGATGAAATATGTGTTTTCAAGGCAAGAACTTTGGCTTGCTCTCCAGGAATGAGTGCTTTTTTCTTAATTTGAGTGTAGTAAGAACTTGTATCTGGGGGGGTTGCTGTTTTCTATCCTTTGTGTTGATTTGTGAATTTTATTACAGGTGTTTTATCATTTTAACATTTTAGAACTCTTTAGGTTGCTAGATGAGTGTAAGAACACTGTCTTTCTGTTGAGAAACTAGATGGAAAACCACATACTGTGGGTAAAAGTTTTTTTGTGCTTGTCTGTTACAGTCTCTAATATTACCACTTCTGAATACAGTTCAAGGTTGAAGCTATTAGGTGATTTTTTTGTGTTAAGTCCTATCTGAGATATACTGTACAGGAGAGGCACAGTTTTTATTATCTGTAGGGCCATTTTGTTGGCAAAAAATTCTGTCAGTCTCGTTTGTTTACTGTTCAAAATCTTTGCTTTTATTGGTGAAGTTCTGGGAAGACAGAAAAAATTGTTAAGTGTTTCCTGGATTGCCTTTGGGATCATCCAGCCAATCAAGATTGAGTTGTATCTCAGAGGAATATTTTCTTTACAGAAAAGCTCCAAGACTAGATCTCAGCTCTTGAGTAACTATTTCATAATGCCCATAAACACTTGGTCAGAGTTTTGAGACAATTGTTTCTATTTTCTCATACTTAAGGTCTCTTGGTCTTGCTGTGGCACCACGGGTGAGGTTTCTTCAGAAAATGCAAAAACAGTCTCCCAAAGAGTTGGTAGTGAACCAACAAAATGAAGTAACTGAGCCAAGGGCTCCCTCCCTCACAAATGATGAAGTGGAAGAATTTAGAGCCTACTTCAATGAGAAGATGTCCATCCTTCAGAAAGGTGGTAAAAGGCCAGAAGGGACTGAGTGCAGACCGGCCAATGATGTTAGTGATGAAGAGGAAGAAGAGGAGGATGATGAAGGAGGAGAAATGGAAGAGAAACTGGGAGGTCAACCTCGGTCTGTCCCTTACACTATGGAAGAACAGAAGCTCAAGGAAGTTCCTGTGCAATTCTTGGACAATGATGAAGAAGAGGAAGATGGACTTGATACCAATTTCTTTAAGGTGAAGCGACACAATGTGTTTGGGTTGGACCTTAAAGAAAATAAAGTAATACAGGTAAGTTTACCCCTTGAGTTCCTTCTGTTCCCTGTCACCACTTCTTTGACTGCCTGTTGTCTTGGAGGATATATAGGGCATTCAGAACTGTAAGAAATTTGTAAAATAGCTTTCTTTGCTGTCAACTCTTCCTCTTCCTCCATAGTTAAACCTGGAATAGGTGCCAAGGAATTCTACCTCACTGTGACCTGGTCATTTATTGGTTTATTGATGAGTGTTTTAGAAGTAACCAGAATCATGATTTTAATATTAAGGAAGGTGAGGTATTCATGTTTTCTGGTGTAATTCTTAACATACTACTTTCTAACTTGACTTGTGACAAATGTTCCTTATACCGTTTTTATCTCTCTAAACATGAATTTTATTTTAATGAGACATTTGCTGTGGGCACCAGTCCAGTATCCTAAGTAGAAAGCCACCTGTGGAAAGTTTCGTGTGGGTCTTTTGTTCTCTGTATGTTCCTGTTAGCAGGAACAAAAGACAAAGCAAATGAAGCACCCGTTTGCTGGGGTACATGAAGCTATACACTATTTCTCCTCCCCCTCCCTATGGCCCTTTCTATTTTGTATGCCTTTATTCTTGATCATTGCTACAAAGAGATTCAAATGAAAAAATGAAGTCAAGTCCTTTTTACTAAAATGTAAAGTAAAACCTAAGGCTCACAGTAGGAAATAATAAAATTTGAAATATGAAACTTGGAAAGGTGTTTCTTCAAGTAAACCATAAAAAAAAATGTTGAAAAGATAACAGACATACCTTATATATTAGACATTTTGTAAAATATTATCACAGTTCTTAAATAACTGAGGTAGTATATATCTCATTCCTCAGGTGGGGGTGTGGGGAGAAAGAGACAATGAAAATGTGAGGTGCATTGTCACTTACTGGCAAGGTTGGAATTTGCACCTTGACAACTTGACTTCAGTATTCATGGTCTTAATAAGAGTCCTTTATTTCCCCATAGTGCTTCAGATTGAGCCATTTTTAGTCAGCATTTTTAAGTCTCAAATGTTATCAAGTAAAATAAATACAAATGATTAGTTTATTTGAAAGAAATTATCTTGTATACCATTTTCTTTTGAACATGTAAATGTTATTGGAGTTAAGACTATAAAGGGCTGATTTTATAATTTTGTAAAGCTCCTAATATGTTCACAAAATAGGGCCTGTGTCTTAAGTGCTAATGGATCAGGTTGCATATTAAAATATGTAGTTAAAGCAATTTTTTAAAGTTTTCTAAAGTCAGATTGAAATACATTGTACAGTAAAATTTACATTTTGGAAGCTTACAACTTGAGTTTTGACAGATGTATGTTGTGTAATCACCATTGCAGTTGAGAATGAAGGGTTCCATCACCCCCGACAGTCTCTAGTGCCCTTTTGCAGTCAGTTACTGCCCCCTTGCAATAGCCTAACTGATTTCCATCCTGATAGTTTTGCATTTTTTGAAGATAACATGGAGACATAAATCTGTAGCCTTTAGTATGGGTTCTTTTTCTTAGCATAATGTTATTGGACATAGCAGTAGTTTGTTTCTTTTCATTACTGACAAGTGTTTCATTATATGCATATACCATAGAGTTTAAAAATAGGCTTGGGTTGTTTCCTTTTTTTCAGTAGTTATGACAAAAGCCATTATAAACATTCACATATGGGATTTTGTGTGCATTTTTCTGTGGAGTGATTATGTAAGAGTGGGGCTGCTGGTAAGTATGTGTTTAACTTTACAAGAAACTACGTGGTTTTCCAAATTGTAAGTCTAAATTTTTTTTGTTTGTTTATTTAGGCAGTGCATAGGAATTCAGTTGCTTCTTGCTGCACTTGTAACTATCAGTCTTTTAAATTTTAGCCATTCTAGTGGGTAGATAGAAGTATCTTACTTGAGTTTGTTAGGGGTTTCCTTAGTGAGTCATGATGCTAAACATTTCTCTATATGCTGATTTGCTTTCCAAAGGACTTTGGTGAAATGCCTGTTTATATCATTTGCCTCTCGCCCCTACTGTTTGCCCCTTAATTGTGTGACTTGCCATCTTACTCAGTTGTAAGGATTCTTCATATATTCTGTCTGCATACACATCCTGTATCAAATACAGATTTTGTAATTTTCTCTCAAACTACAGCTTCTGATTTTATGTACTGAAGAGTATACCAGAAAGCAGAAATTTAAAATTCTGAAGTTAGATTTATGATGTTTTCTTTTATACATACCTTGAATTAAATCTTTGATTGATCTTGTCACAAAGATTTTCTCTATGGTTATAAAAGTTAGTGGTCATATTCATTCCAATACATATGTAGGATTTTGAAGCCACGTAAGATTTACCTAACTGACGAGTGATCCAAAAGGTATTGTTGAACTTTCTATAATTCTGAACACAAATAACTTACTTGACTTTATTGAATGATCAACTTTATAATTTAGACAGCAAATGAAAGTGTAAGTACTGATGTAAAAATCTGTTAACTAAGAGTACATTTGCATAATATACTCTTAAAACGTCTGTCTTTAAAGTACCTACATGATATCTTTTTCATTTATGAATTGGAAGTGTTACAGGGAACCCCAATGTGAATTGGGTTGCCTGCCTGTGGATCCTCACCTGCGTGAAGATTCAGTGGTACTGTGGACACACACAAAAAGGTTCAGTAGTTGGTTTATTTAAAAGGGGAAAGGAAAAGGAATAACCCAGGGAAAGAAAGAGAAATATAAGTTAACTAGAATATCCTACTAGTTCTGCTGACTTGGATTCCAGTAGCACACTGGAAACTGATCAAGAGCCCAACAACCGGCCGCAAACCACCGGGCCACGAGAGCCCCAAAGCCCACCTGTTCGGTTTTATCCTAACCTGGCTGCTCACTCCACCCTCACATCCCAGCGTGCTTCTCATTGGTATTGACTGGATCTGTAGTTCCAGTATCTGGAGTGGGGGTGGAGTTCATGAAACCTGTATCCGTTTCAGAAGTACTCTATCATGTGACATGAGAGGAGCATTCAGGGAAGTTTGTAGGATTTTGAGATACTAATAAAAATGTTATTTTTTCTGTGTGTTCCCTAGTAGTATAAACAGTTAAAATTAATGTTTCTTTAACTGAATAGAGAGGTTTACTGGCTTTTTTGCTTTACCTAGTCTTGCCAGTATCACCAGTCACCTCTAAATTTTCCAAAAATCAATACTCATTTGCACTCAAATCATAGATTGCTTATGTTTTCAAAGCATTTGGTTTTGAGTGTGCTTTTTGTATCCACAGTCTCCACTGACTTCGTATTTTAGCTTTGTTCTTGCAGTTTATTTTTTAGTGTTGTATTACAGCCATCAATGGAGGCAGCTGTGTTCCTTTATCATCTATTTTTAAGGACAGACCTGATAAAGGAAAACAACAAACCACATTCCAAATAGGAATTAGTATTGTCCTTACACATATCAGTGAACATCTTCCCTCTGGGGAATGTGCTTTTCAAGGCACTGCTGCTTTTGTGTATTTTTGATGCTCCTGTTATAGAATGGTCTTTATGGGCAATGGTCTTTATTAGACTCACAAAGCACAGATTTCTTTACTTACATCATAGACTGTTCTGGATTGATTATCTTTTCCTTCCTTTCTTTTCCCCTTGGAAAAGATTTGTAGAATTCATTTGAGACTTGGAGCTAATGGGAACACATTGATTACATGGGTTTTGTTGAGTAATCATTAGCATTGATAAGGTATTTGGTGTGTTACCATTTACCAAATTACTTTCCTTGTAAGTTTCATTTTATCCTTAGGGAAGGTAGATGATATTTTAAAAAAACATCTTGTAAATGACTTGTGTAGGGTGTCAGTATTGGACTTAGTACTCAAACCTCTGTACTTAGTACTTACTTCTGATGCCAAATCACCTTTGTATGCTTATCTGGCTCTCTACCAGCATTTGTGTATTATTTACTATCTATAAAATAAGTAACATCAGTGTCGCTGACACCACTGTAAGTTATTATGTTCTGCCCATTGTGTGCAGATACTTGGAAAATGTGCCAATTTTGTATTTTTTAGACTTGGGTATGAATGGAGAAGGTAATTTGTGCTAGGTGCAAGTGATGTCATCTGGAAGTCTCCTTTGTCACAGTTCTTTTCTATTTAACAGGATCCAGACATTGCCAGAAATAGACTTCCTTAGCAATGGGATGGGGATCCTGAGGGAACAGAGAGAGATGGTTGAGAGTACAGCTGGCATGATTGGGCACAGAGGGATAGGCTGTGGACTTCAGCCACAGGGAAGAAAGAGCCTTCTGTTTGGACTCCCTTTACTGGCTGTTGGTGCGGAGGAAGTTTGATCTCTGGGGAAAACAGTATTAGAAAAGAGCCTGAATATAATTGTGATAATATTGAAAAGGATTTAAAAACATTTTTTAAATAGAAGATATCTAAGCATACACTTTAATCTTTCCCCTGTTATTTAGAAATGAAACTGAAAGGTAGGCTTAACCTTATTTTACCAAGTATTCTCAAAAACTTTAACAGTAAACATAGCTCAGTTTAACCTGGATTTGAATGATACTCGGATTATTCTTTGTACCTTAGAATTGATTATCTTGTGTCTTATTCTCAAGAGGTAAAAGGTTACCTCTTGTCACTCTTATTTTCTTTCTCTGCCCCTTTCTTTCCTTCTACTTTTTTCCCCCCTCCTTTTAAAGCAGTTATTGAGTACCTGTGAGGTGCCAGGGAACATGCTACAGAGTGAGTTTTGGAGGCTTCTACTTGAGCTAATTTCAGTACAGAATCCTGGCTTTCAGTTCATAAACTCGTTCACACAGTCAGTTATATAT